GCCTGGTCTAGAGAGCAAGTTCCAGAACAGCCAGGACTGCACAGAGAAACCATGCCTTGAAAAAAGGAAGGAAGAAAGAAAAAAGAAAGGAAGAAAGGAAGGGAGGAAGGAAGGGAGGAAGGAAGGAAGGGAGAAAGGAAGGAAGGGAGGAAGGAAGGAAGGGAGGAAGGAAGGAAAGAACAAAGGAAAGAAGGAAAGAAGGGAAGGAGGGAGGGAGGAAAAGGAAAGAAAAAGAAAAGAATAATGAAAAGTTTAGGAATGATCAAATTTCAATATAGTTTTAAAATTTTCTGTCCTAACCAAGAGATCAAACTAGCCATGAAAGGAGATTACACGCGGCCAACAGTGACTTTTGGGTGCCGATCTTATCACATTCATGAGCTCCACGGAGCAGAGGTGTTAATTCTACCACAGTAAAATCAATCACAACACCCATCACTAAGCCAGTCTTTCTCTACCAGGCTTTCTGTTATAGACTTTTCTTCATGTAATACACTGGCAAATTTTGCTCCACAAAGGCTAATAGAATGTATCAAATATTTCAAAAATATTTCAGGAATGTTTCCACAGAAATAAAGATGCACTGCATAACTCACTTAGGGAAAAAAGATTTATTTGTGCCCCAGGCTGAGAAGTTAATCTTTAACACTGACTAAAATATTAGTGCAGAATTGAGTTTCATTAGAAGCCTGGGCTAACCAGAACAGCTCGGCATCCTGTCTCTGATGCTCCTGCCTGCCTCTCTGTTTCCTGTGCTCACAGGGTTTTCAGCCATTTACTTTATAAAATAAATAAATTCAAATAGTTTAAATATAGGCTCCTCTGTTAGGGATTACATGTTACAAGCATCTAAAATTTTCACATATGATGGTAGTTATGTCCTTATGTGAACTTTTTTTTTTTTCTGTTTGATATGATACAGTTTCTCTGTGTTTCTAAGATTAGTTTCAAACTCCCAGGCTCCTTGTTTTGGGCTCTACCGTTCTGTGATTTTAGGGCTCACCACTACATCTGACTTTTTAGGTTAAACTTTTAATGTCTATATTATTCTTTGTTTTAGAACTATCTCAGTATCACCCAAAAATTGAGAACCAGAAAACAAAAGACAGGCTGTAGCTATCAATGGGGAGATCTCATTGCCCTATCCCAGAATGCATCACTTTCAGAAGAGCAAGAAGACCAAAAATGGTTAAGGGCAGTTATATCTTCCATGACTTCAAGGTCTAATATTAGGTTGGTCCTCCCAGGCCAAGCTGCATGCCGGAAATAAGCCTTAAAAGGAGAACAGCAAAACGCCAAAAAGTAAAGGCAAATATACACCAGGGAACCAACAGAAGCAATTCCACTGGATATGAACCACGTTAGGCAGGGAAGTTACTGAGAAGCTCCGGCCCTTAGGCATTTAAACAAGCCAGCGTTGGGTTTGCCTATCATGAGCTTCTTACTAAAAGCAGGTGAGTGAGTTCTGGGGTGTGTACATTCTGCTCAAGTTTCCCTCTTCTCCCATTCCAACCAAGAGTCACGGTTCTAATGTGACATTCAAATGTCACTTCCTCTCCCAGCCATACAGTACTAAACTTGTCAGATTTCTACCAGACAGTCCTCTTATCTATATCCCATGTCTGTCATAAACTACGGTACCACGAACAGTTTAAACATTTTAACATTTCTCTTTCTACCTTTAAAAGCTTAGATTCCTAAAGCCTGGCTCAGTGCTTGCTCTCACAAATCTTCATGCTTGCTAGAAAACCTGCCAGGTACGTATCTTTGCCACCAATTTAATGGAAGAGCTTCATCTATTATAATAAATAAATAGCATTGGATTAGGTTCACAAAATCTAAGTCCCCATGAGGTTAAGGATAGTGGCTGACACTGAGACAGGAGCTCGACAGCCCTGTGCCTGAGTTCCCTAAGCTCTCAGGTATTCTGAAAGACTGCAGGAATAACATTTATTTACTTGGCATTTTTCACCATGATAATATCAGATAAAGCCATCGGATACTCTAAGGTCATTTTTGTGACAAGGGTGTGTCTGATAAAAACTGAACCAGCTGTATGGTGTTGACAGACACCTTTAATCCCAGCATTTGGGAGGTAGAGGCAGGCAGATCTCCCTGATCTTGAGGCCAGCCTGGTCTACAGAGCTAGTTCCAGGCTAGCCAGAGCTACACAGAGAAACCCTATCCTGAAAAAACAAAACAACAACAAAAAAATTCAAACAACCTACCACCACCTCCAACGTGCCCCCATCTTTATTTTCTTCACTTCTCCCTAGTAAAGTGTAATTTTCATACAAATTCGGCTAGCTCCCACTCCTACTCACTTTGAAACATAGTATCCACTCCTTTTAATAGGGCGTGGCCCCCTGCTCCCCCCCAACCCCCAGAATCCTTCAGTGCAGACTTGCTGAAAGATGAGCTCAACGAATAATTTAAGAAACACCAGGAAGTGCTTTCATTCTGCCTGGCTGCTCTCACTAGCTTAAATTTGATCCAGCCTCCCTCATCCTTTAACAAAAACAAACCAAGTCTGTCTTGACCATCTTGACTGCATGCTGCCTCTCTTCCCTCCCCCGCTGTCTCCTACCCCTCACATGCACACCATATAGCTGTATAATGGACACCACTGGACAGGAGACAACACTACTCACTGAGGGAGCCTCCAGATACATCCTGGGTGCTTGGTGCATTTTCATGGGGTGTTACTGTTATTTCCTAGCATGTCCCAGTGTTCCTGTGACTACAGTTTTTGTCATCTCAAGCTTCATCTACTGTCCTTTGGGTTTGAATTTCACTGCCCCGTGATAGCCTAAGCAGCTTGTCATAGTTTGGACACACAGTGCTCTCTTTCTATGCCTTCCACATGGACTGTATTTCTCCTCTCTCATCTCTTCTACTGTTTAATACAACTCGTTACCTTTTAAAACTGAGTCCAAGAGTCAGATTTTCAAGGAGCTTGCTCAGGAGGACCGCAGCGTGAGCTAGAATTTGGGTATTGTGTAAAAAAGAGACACTGACTGTATGTCGTGCCATCGGCACCTTGCGAAGACCTTGGACATAGTGGCACGGCTGCCTCCTTCTCTGTATACTTGGAAACTCATGGGCTTCATGCTCAGATTTAATGTGACTTCTTTATAACACTGCCATGTGCTCAGCACTGTGAGAACCCTTTAGGTGCAGAAGATTTGATTTTCAAAAATTTCTTTTGAGATGTTCATTTTTAATTTTTTTGTAAGAACATTTTTGCCTGTGTCCATGGATGTGCACCACATGTGTACCTGGTGCCAGATTAAAAAGAGACACGTGTATCAGGTGCCCTGGGACTGGAGTCAGAGATAGTTCTAAGTGACCAGTTGGGTACTGAGAACCAAACCTGGGTCCTCTGCAAGAGCAGCAATCGATTTTAACCTAATTCTGAGCATCTGAAAATGACACCACTGTCTCCTTTTGATAGATGAAAACTGAGCTTTGGTGACATTAGTTCTATCTAGGCTCTTGTTATCAGTCGGTAGTAGAACAAAGATTGAAACTCCAAAAACTTAACCTTGGCTCCCTTACTATAAAAAATGAGGAGTGAGAGATTATGAATGCCCTTCATGGACAGTAGTTTTCTACAGACTCAATTTTCAGAAGGAAATCACTAAGAAGAAACTAAACAGTTTCTTTTAAACAGATTCTTAAACTGATTCTTACCTCAGTAATTCTCTCTTATGAAAATTCTATAGTTCCACAATAGACTAGACAATTACATGAAGGACTACTCAAAGCCCAATAAACACAAACTCTGTGCTTCTAAAGCCGTGCAACCCACGCTTTAGATAGTCATGTTAACCATTGCGTCCATGTGCAGGAATCCTGAGACTGAATGTACAACACCTTTCACTCTTCCTTATGCATTATGTTATGTGCTTCCAAACGCTTATTGCCAGTGGACATTCTAAGGCATGATGATGTGTAGGGAAGTGATCTTCTCCTTGAACTGTATACAACTCCTGTAGCTTAGTTAAGTGCTCTGGTCACACTCTACTCTCTGGTGACTGATTCTAGATTATGGTCTCCAGAATGTATTCCAAATTAGCCAATCTATGTATAAACCTAGCCAACCACACATGGATCTGAGCGGAGAAACTACTACCACCACTTCCTAAGGATGTTTACCTCTTAACTGCATTCTAATTACTTATCTTTATACTGTTCGCAGTCAAATTTTTAAAGACCTAGCTCAGGACATGAGTGCAGCTCCCAGCATTCATGAAAGCAAATCCTTTTTGCAGCAGCAGCAGCAGGAGGTCATTACTAAAAACTACAACTAGTCAAAATGTAGAGACCATCTAACTGAAAGTGGAGGTGACCAAGACAAATTGAAACACCAACACCACCACTCTGGCACCCAAGGCTCAGGGAACATCCTAGAAGAGGAGCTGAAAGACTGTAAGTTCCATGGAATCTGACTGTGAAACATGCTGTAAGGTTATTTGTCTTCTAGCTATGACAGGGAAGCTGTGGCCATGAAATCTTAGCAAGATGGTTGTCTAAACCAGACCCGAATAATTCCAACAACAGTTGACATCTCAACATAGAGAGGGGAAGTCTTATGGAATGCCACTCCTAGTGGAAGAGATACAAGCAACTAACAACTTCCTAGAGTGGGAGAATTAGTCTTCCCCAGGAATGAGTTTCCTGATTAGTTAGCTAATAAAGAGTGGTTGGCCCTAGAAATATATACATGCAGGCAATACTGAACAAACTTGGCTGGTTGTATTTATATGTCTCTTCACTTATAAGTATATGCAATGACAATGGTTAATGAAGAGAAGACTGTGAATTTGGAAAAGGAGTACAGGAGAGTGGACATGGACGAGGCAGGAGAGATGAGTAGCAGAGGGAAATCTATGTAATTATTTTTTAATAAATTGAAAAAAGAATATTCTAAAAATCCATAGCAGAAGATATATTGGGGTTATTTTACTTATAGGAAGAATCACAATATAATCATATAGTTTTACAGAATTTTCAGATATATTTATTAGCAGGAAACAGTATATACTCAGAAGGAGATAGATTTTTAAGTAATTAAAGAATTATACAAAATTCATAGTAAGAAAACCAGTAAATAGTTGAGATTTAACTTCTATACAGAAATAATGAGTTCAACTATTGGCTTTAGATATCTAGTTTAAAAAGTTGTTTTATTTATACGTTGGGTACATGTGAGGTCAATGGATAACCTCAGGCTTTGCTCCTCACTCCTACCTGTGTTGAGACAGATTTTATTTGTTATTCTTCAGCTCTATACTTCAGGCTAGTAGGCCTGAGAGCTTCTAGGTGTTCTTCTGTCTCCAATTCCCACTCCCCAGTAGTATGACAGATACGTGTAATGTGCTTTTATGTGGGTTCTGAGGATTCAAACTTAGGTCCACACACTTATGCAGTTTTACCCATGAATCCAAATCTCTAGCCCCTAGATTTTATCATAATCTTGCATGGCTGATAATTTTAGAAAATGAAATGTGCCCCCATAAGAGTTTGTACTAGTTTGTTAGTTGTGTTTAAACTACTCACTTTATAGTGCAACTGACAACATACATACTTATGTTAGTAGGTTCTTCCGATTATAAACATATTCTCTACATTGCATCAAATTATTAAACGATTTTGTGCTTTTCAGCTTGGAATTAAATCTATTTTTTTTTGATCATTTTGGGTAGCTTACATAGCTAACATAGAGATGTTTTATAATATACTATTTCAAAATGCACACTTGTATATGCTTCGAAAATTAGATCTTGTGACAATCTGTTAATAGTTACATCACTGTAGTATAGAAAAAAAGCTTACAAGGCTACAGTAGTGATTTCAGGATCTCAATTGTGCTATTAGAAGTCAACTGTAGGCAGAGAGAAGTCATAATCTAATCAAGGTTTAGAAGCTGACAGATGGGATCTTAAAATATACCCACAGAGAATTCCCAGATGCTTGTAGACAACAAAATCTAAGGAGGCTCAAGTCCTTTGTATATAATGGGATAGCTCTGAGTGTAACCTGCCTACATCTGTCTGTACTTAAGTCACCATCAGAATCTTATAACACCTGACATAGTGTAAAGGCAAATCCTGCGTACACACTTGTCCTGCTTGTGTTGGAGGAGGATGATGTCATGCGCACTCAGAATTGTTTTTCTTGACTTGTCTTGACATCTTTTATTTTGGAACAGAGCCCCCTCCCCAATAATTCCAATCATTTCGGATCCTTGGATGAATTGTCACATGAGAAACATGTAGGTGTGGTACCTGGCTGTATATGTGTTTAATATTCATGGAACATTTTATAAAATAGTGATATATTATGTTTTACCTATTTTTCCAGTACTGGGGGTTGAACCCAGGGTTTCATAAAGGTTTGTAAAACAATTAGCTTTTATAAAATTGCAAAATATTCTATTTATAGAACCTCTAAGCCCATAGTTTACTAAAATACAGAGTGAGTTTGTTTTTCTATTATTGAAATGTAGTTCTCCCAGGCTCTCTCTTTGTCTTAACTGGGCCAACAACAGTTTGACCCTGTGTTTTGTCAGAAGGGCTACTAACACAAACGTGAGGTACACGAGTGCTGATAGCCTCAAGATTCAAGCTTGACAGGAGGCAGCTGGTACTGAGAAAAACAGTAAGTCTATATTATTTTAGGTAAACTAGAGGAATGGCTAGAAAAAAGAAAAAGTCTAAAGAAAAGAAAAATGTTTATGCCCTGAAAGTTAGAGCAGAGTAAATTTTGCATGACTTCTGTATTTCTGATTCTTTAAGAATCTAAAGATTTACAGGTAAGTACATGCAAGTAGATGAATTATTTTCTTTAAAGACATCAAAAGCTAATTTATGGATTAGAAATCTAAAAGGAATTATTGTATATGCTGCAGGCTGTCTAAGACACACTTGGTTGATCCTCAATCCTCAAACAAAGGGGTTTCTTGATTCCTATGTCTTCTGCAAGTGAGAAGTGCAAGAAAGAAATGTCCTGAGCAACCAGTAGCATGCAGGTCTGAAGAAGAGCAGCACTATTTGATCCCAGGAAGCCTCACACAGAAAGGAAGGTATTCCTCAAGGCAACAGTCCATAAGGGTCACTGAGGCTAAGACGTTGACAATCATACTGTATACTAATTCGCAGATTCACAGGACACATGCACAAAGCTCATTCACCAAGAGATTGATAGATTAGCTCAGGAACTGACAATGGGTGTTATCAGACACCAGATCCCATGCAGGTGGCAAGGCTCCAGCATCTTTGTCTGTAACAGGGCCTTCTGGAAGCATCCTATACAGCTTCTTTACCACCACCATAGGAAATAGAAAAAGCGTTGAGCAAGGATGCAGCTCCTGCCAGTTAACCTCAGAGGTACCGATTTTGGCTTGTTATGTTGAGCTGTACTGGGCTAGACCTGCAAGGCATGCAGCAAGAGATCCGAGTGAGTGGCTGCTGAGTGGTGAGCTGAAGTGACATGCTGGAAGCAGGATGAGAGACAGATGATAAGGACATACAAAAGTGCAACTTCCACAGGTGACATGCACTCTGGCACGCTGGGAAAGAAGATCAGGTGGAGCAAACAGACGTGTGCTCATCAGGAAGGAGCTGACGTTGAGGAACGGTGCTGGGTGTGTTAGGAGGTGGAGAGGCATTGTGGCATACAGCGACAGGCCCTGCAAACTGTGGCTACAGCCACAAACCAAAGGACAGTCTTCAAATGCAGACAGTGTGAAAACGTACCCCCACACCTACAGAATGGAGCACTGTTAGATACGACAGCCACTAGTGAAAGGCTGATGGGGACACTAGTTCATAAAACTAGAAGTTAATGTAAAGTTAAAAAGGAATCCAAAATGCAAAACAACAATTTTGGCTTAATATTTAAAAATTTGAGAACAGTTAGTTTTAGCAGGAGAACTTTTCTTTTGGACCATGGTGATGACCACTTTGCATCTATGGCCGTAACTGTCTTTTGTTAAGACACCATTAACTTTCAAACTATTACTAACTCCCCATGACATTGAAGAGCTGCTGAGCTCCCTGCCACAGTATCAGAAACAGTATCCTGCTTCTAAATACAAGACAATATTGGGAAGTTGTGTAAAATGTTGGCAGTAAGTTGTGAGGATGTGACCACTTTGCCTTTGAATAAGGAGAACAAGAACTAGCGGAGATTTTAAAGACCATTAGACATGTTAGACCCAGCAAGTCCTCCGGATGACTTCATGCTGGGGAATAAACAGGTGGCTCTGATGTAAAAATTTAGTTTTGTTCTTTTATTTATATTTGCTCTGCTTTGTGACAGGCTCTTTCTACATAGCTGAGGTTGGCCCTCAACTAGTAATTCTAGAGCTTTAGCCCCCTGGCACTGGGATTATAGGAAAGCACCACCATCCTCAGATTCTTAAGTACATTTAAACAAAACAAAACAAACAAAAAACTCCACAAAAGCCAAACCAAAGCATTCTTGGGTAAATCATAGAGAGATCCCGAGTCTCACTTCCTCTGTGTTTATTTGCTATTTATTGAGTTAGGAGAAATGGGCCTATCTGGTAGGAAAGGAGCGTCACGCACAACATACACAAGAATGTTCCCGCTTGACAGCTTTGAAATCTTCTGACCCACTCAGCACTCGGCTGAAAAGTACATACTCAGTAAGCACTCAGTGAGTATTTGCTGAATGAATGACGAAACTTAGATAAATGTAGGTAGTTTAAAAGAAACATGTCAACTGGATCCTCAGGAACCCAAGCTACTGTAAAGGGAAACGTAGCAAGCAGAACTAAATGAAAACAGGTCTCTTTCCATCCTGGCATCCAGAGTGATACATATTCTCCGCCTAGAAAGCCCCACTCATCTGCTACCACCAAGACATTGACGTATCTTTGATGAGATCACCTTATGTGGGAGCCACCCATGCTCTCTGCAGTAGAGAGAAGATAGAAACATCCATTTCCTGGGTAGCTGATGAGAACTGGGCATTGGTATAGGAAGCTTGTGATAGTCTATCCAGGGCCATGTGCCTTCATGAAGCAGCGGAAGCGTAGGTGCTGTTGCCAGACGTGTTTCATGGGAGAACAAGTTCTAGCCAGATAGGACGGTGCTAGAGAAACTTGTCCAGATGAGTCTGCTGCCAGGGGTGGGGTTTTACCTGAGTAATAACGCTGTATACAACCTTGCTCAGATAGCATGGGCAGTAGAAGAAAGTAAAGGAATTTTCCTGATGTGATATAGTCATGTGTAGAGGATATAGTTTTGGTCAAATTATATATAATTGCCTTTATCAGATTGGGCTTTGCCTTCTCATACAGTAAGACAATAACATACTTTCTATTAAACTACACAAAGTATGGCAAAAAAATTATTCACATGATTTAAGTATATCGGGCCTTTCTTGGGGAATTATTCATTGACTTGGCAGAGGGAGAGATTCCTGCAGAAAGCAGTCACCAACAAAATAAACACATTAAAATCATTTCCAGTCATTCACCTTCTACAATGGTGCCTAGGTGACCTTCTGAAGCACCATCTCTATCTTAAAGGTTTCTAGAATCTATCAGCATTAAAAGAATCAGCGATCAAAAGGCTGCATATGTTTTAGAGGGAAGACAGCTGAGATCTATATGGTGTTTATATTAGTGTGATCAAGCAGAAACATACTTTATTCATTCGACTCCAGAAAATAAATGAAAGCACCCTGTGTTCAATTATTAACTATACATTTCCTCTATTCTTATATTACACTTTTTAATCTTAATGTTATATTTATCTAATATTTTGTGTGTATATATTCAGTATAACCCTAAAAACAAACAGTGCCTCAATTTTTTGAATCCCTGAGGGAAACTTTGATTCATTTTATTTTGACTTCTTTCTTTGAGACAGGTTTTATGATGTCCACTGGGCAGATCTAGACCTCATCTTATATCCATTCTTAATCTAAAACTCTGTATCCTTTTGCCTCAGCATCTTGAGTGTTGGGACTACAGGGGTATGCTTCCATGCTCAACTGAGAGACTCATAACAGACACTGATATTTAGATAAATTAAAGAAAGTTATCCTGAGCAAGTATTTAATAGCACAAGTCAAATTCAAATGAGAAACATTACAAATTAAAGCCATTCTCATAATTACCAAGGTGTGAAAGTGTCCTAGGTGGATGAACTTGTACATATACTGAGGTGTTAGGATTCCCTTCGCTATACTCAGTTATTTAAGGATTCAGTTCCTCTGATGGATAACAGAGAGGTTTTCAGACACTTGATTAAAAATTGAGAGCAGGGTGGAGACTAAGACCTGTAGGCCTTAGCAAAGACTGAAATAAATGAACATATGAGAAAAACAGTAGCTGGCAAAGTGGAAGGCAGTATACCCTTAGCTGAGGCCAGCAGAATCCTGACAGTGTTTAAAGTGGCCCATGGTTCATTATAATATGGAATGCATGAAGCTGTATGTAGAACTGTATGCAACAGAGCATGTGTGAAAAAAAACCTCAGGCTATGCAATAGGGCCAGAAAGCTCACATTGCATGACATAAAAAATTTCCCATCCTCCATGAAGCAGGGCTATTCTGGCTCTCAGCTCTCTTCCCACTGGCCTACTTTCTCTGCTGGAAGTCTGTCTTTTTTTTTTAATTTTTTTAATTTTTTTAAAATAAATGGTCTTCACTTCAGCTGCATCAGCCTTTGCTCAGTTCTTTGTTCTGGTGCACGGTAACCTAGAATCTCTCTGGGAGTGTCCACCAAACACTTACATAAGCTGTTATCAAAATCATATGCAACATTCTATTTAGCTGAACAGCTAATGCTAAAACACTCACAAGATGATCTTTCCTGAGTCACTGGCAAAGCTAAATGGTGCATCTGTTTATTTGGTTAACACATATGTTTTTATGTAATATCAGTGATTCATAACATTATGTCAGATTAGTGGCAAAAGTGGTAGGAGTAGACTTAATCATCTCCCCGACACTGCTATCTACTTTTGCACTCCAAGAAACAATGAGCGCCTTCCTTTAAGAGAGATAGGGCAGTGCCCTAGTAATATAAAGAGGACATGCCAGTAGTGTCAGTGTTCCACTAAAACGAGAAGAAAAAGAGCAGCAGAAGTGACTGCCAATTGTGGTCTGCCACCATTTTCATTTCCTAAATTGTCCATCTTTCTTCGTGAGGTGAGAGTGCCTAGTTATTTAGTTTACAACACAAATACATACATTTTTCTTCAAGACTATTTTGTTAATGCCATCTAAAAAATTACAGCATTTAGTGTCATTTTTATGAAAGGTATTTCCCAGAGATTTAGCTAATTGATGAATGACATCTTTCAATTCTTCAAAAATATTTTTATCCTCCTTTAAATTTTTATTTTAAAGGACTTTATTATTATAATTTCTTTCCAGAATACTTTCTAGCCAAGCAAACCATTGAAGATGAAGCTGCACATACTGAGCTACAACAAGAACACAAAACTGTACAAGAAAACAGAGCAAAATTAACACTTTAAAACCAGTCATGTGGTCAAAGGAAGTAGAGTAAACTAGAAGTACATATTGAGGATGTCTGTATGGTGGTTCTGAGATTTCAATAGCTGGATAGCTTAGGCAGACAAAATGCAATGGATGTCAAGACTATATTAAGAAAATATATGAAACTCAAGCCAAAAAGCTTCCAAAATCATGAAGCTCCATTGGCATTCAATGGAGACCATTAAAAAATTATTAGAATATTTTCATACTGCCTCTTCAGAATAGAATACAGTTTTCTATACAAGTTTTAATGATATACGTAAAGGGCATATGTATTTTATGCTACTTTTGACTGATGTGTTTAAAATCAGTCGCTAGCTGTGATGTCAACAGTATGCTTGCACAGACCACATGTTTAAATTTAAAACACATAAAATGTGAAAAAGCTGGCACATTCATAGAGTGATTCATTATCCAGAATAATATATTCATAAAACAAAAATGAATTTCTTTTGGTGTAAGCCTTCTTCTTAATCTACAGTGACTAGGTACTTGGAACAAGCTTTGCTATGACGGACGTGGCCCTCTAAGTTAGTGATTTCCCACTTTTTGCCTCAAGCCTACCTTTCACATCTTCATCCTCAATGGTGGTATTTGAGCTCTCAGTTGACTCCTGTGCAGAGGAAAACACAGTTTTAAGTTTCATACAACAGAACTAGCTCTTCTGACAAATTTGGCTGGTGATACATACATATCATGCAAATTTCTTCAGCAGGCTGTGTGCATATGCCGACATGCAAATGGACACATACATCAAGTGACTTTCAACAGAAACAAGATGTCATATGCTGCAAACATTTCAAAGGGAGTACTCTGGTTGCCTAGTCACGGATGCAGGATATATCCAGGTGATTTGTAGAAGCAGAAGAAGTATGTAGTTTATTTTAAGATGAACTGCATAAGATGAGTTCACATTACAGTGCCTCATACAATGTGTTTTTATATGGAAAAATGGAATATTTCAGCAGAATAAATTTGAAATTTAAAATACATGATCTTATCCCTAATAAACCTCAGTAATTAGCAAGTTTTTGCATTGGGCATGGTGTTGAGTACAGAATTTGCTATTTGTCTATCCTCCATCTATATGGGGAAAAGGCGTTTACTCCATCATTTGATTCAGAAGTTGGGACTGTCAAGCTAAGCCAGGCTGAATGCTGTCAGAAAGTTACAGGTTTATCTTTAGGACACCGAGATCATAAGGAATGACTTATTTTCAAGGTCAGTTTAACTTATTTTCATCCTTTTCTAGCTCAAAAAGTGTTGGTTGTTGAAAAAGAAATCTCTTTCCACAATGAAAAGACAAAGGTCTTTGTAAAACTGCAAATGAAGATGGAGAGAAGCAAACACACTCAAAAGTGCACTGGAACTGCTGGACGGGGAGATGCTTCTTAAAGGAACCTCAGAAATGTTTTTATTACACTTTAGTAATGAAATGTTTTCTAGTAAAGATATGTTGTAGTATTCGTAAGTACTCATTTTCCACTTGGAATGGCTAAAGGCCAAAACTGAAAATAACTGGGACTAAAGTTTCAGCTAATAGCTGTATGTTCACTAAATGGAAAACAGGGTTTGGAGGGTCGTCAAAAAAATTCCAGTCAGTGTTCATTTATAGATTCTGTATTTTTAGAAAGCCATCTATTTATATATATATACCATATATAATATTTAAACCAAATATGTAAACTAGCTAATGTCCAGAGTCTCCATACATATAAAACCAAAGGAAAAAAAATCCATGCATTTCTTTAATGTGATGTAGCATTCAGATTTAATCTTAAAATGAAGGTTAATCCCATGCACTTAAAGAAAATGAATTCATGTAAGCAATAAATAGCATGCAGCAACCCTTACAAATGACAGAGCTAGATATATGGCAGTGTCCACTCCAGCTGCTATGCCTGGTCTCTCATTTGATAGTGCCATTAATGGGATTATTCTCATATGTGCTGGTCCTGACTACCTCAAATCTTTTTGGGACTTAGAACATCTCCAGTCATGACACTAAGGAACACATCAGATGAAGACACAAAATACTTCATGTTTTCAACATGGGTCAACTAAATATTGATCCAGAGATGAGATATATTTCCCGATTGTTTAATGTTAATGATTCGGGTAAGGAAAAGACCCATGACCTATTCCATATCTTAGAAAAGTCTGATGCATTTTTCTCCTTTAGATATGATAATGTATAACAAGTTATAAGCTGGACATAGAAAATACTTAGAACATATACCCTTTTATCTCTCAGACACGTATGCGAGTGTGGATATGAACACAGTATACACATAACTTACAACAAGTGGAACACCTTAGTCTTCATTCAGCATAATACTTAAATGCATGTTACTATAATTCATATAGATCGACAGCAAACATATTTAACAAAAATTAACTCTCTGATTCTCTTCAAATTCACTGCAAACAGTAACACCTATTGTTATCATCAGTAACAGGGATTGAAAAACAAGCAACCAGAAACAACAACAAAAACACTGTGACAACAGAAGACAATGAAAAGCTCAAAAGCAACATCGTGTTTTAGGAAAAAAAAATACCTACAAATTCATTATCTTTGAAGACAAGGAGGATGGTAGTAAGAAATTCTGAAATTTCATGCTGTATGTGTTTATTGTACAATGCATAAACAGACATGGAGAAATAAAAGGACCACACGGAATAGCTTAAGATACACAGTCATCTCAACACAAAGACTTTGCAGGTGTTTAACCTGACCCTTACTCTTTTTAATTGACTAAGGGAATCACTGATCTCTCTTTCTCAGGCTGTCATTCATTTTGATCTGAAGGAAGTCTATGGATAATTCTAGAATAATTAGACCTGAAAGAGCTTGTGGTGGAAAGATGGCCAATTTTTTTTTTTCTTTTCCACTTGAGATACTGACTGGGTTTTGCACAGGGCATTTGATGAGATGTGTAATCTTATCAGAGCAAATGGGGTTGATGCTCTCTGAATACCTTGTTTCCATCAGGGTTGTGGATTACAGTAGTTTGGGGCTCCTGAGTGAGAACAAAATAGAGAAAGAAACAGTTTGTTTTGGTAAGTACATTCTTACTAGTCTATGGGACAGAGCATAGAGGGCTAACAGACAAGACTAGTGACAAGAGCTAAAGCCAGGTAAGGGGCTGTCAACAACTGACAGGATCTCTGTGGAGGTCTCTCTGTTGAACCCATGAGATCACACACTTCTCTATCCAGAAGCAGCATGCAAAAGACCTTATTCTTGATAGGTGAATGAGCTGGCTTTGCAGTTTGGAGACCAAAAGAGGCAGTCACTGTTTCACCCGGCCCTATCCCACGGAGAACTTTCTGTCTTCTCCTCTGAATACTCTATTTCTGTCTGTCCACAGGAACTGGCCAGGAGCACCATAGATAGAAATATCCGAGAAGATGTCAAATTTTTTGTGAAGATATTTTTTTCCCAGCTGTATTGCCTTGGGGCTCAACTCTGATGTTATTATAATCAACACATAGCTGAATACCCTTGGAGACTCTTGAAACACTGGACCACACTTAAAAAAACAGTAACAACAACAAAAAACCCCCACAAAACTGTCCAAAAGAACACACATAAAAACGCATAAAAATTCTAAGAAATACTTTTAAAACGTTTGTTTAAATGTTTTAGAACTAATAATAAAACACAATAATTGGAAACACCATTGGTACAGCCTATACTAATCACATCAAAAATAAAATTTCTGCTTTATAAACTTCATGTCTAGATTACTAAGCTTTCCTTTCTTCTCTACTGGATAGTTTATTTCTGTCTTTCCCACAGAAACTGGCTGAGAACACCATAGATTAAAACATCTGAGAGGACATCAAATTCTTTGTGAAGATATATATTATGTAAAATTTATTATATATTATTTATAGTAATATTTTTCCATGAAGAAACTATTATTTTCACATACTTTTTATGAGAATATTCTTAAGCAGAAAATAATATTCAAATATTAATTTAAAAAAAGACCTAGTGTTCACACAGCGATACCATGCTTGTTGCATCCACTAACGGCTACCCTGGCACCTGTGAATTGCTATAACCACAACCAAGCAGTCTTCCTCACCACAGGCATTTCCCCAAGGGAAAGCCTGTACTGAATGCTTAGAAAAATCCAACCCTTGCTTCTTTTCTTTCGTGCTGTAGCTTTAGCTGCGACATTGACTTTACTATTTATAACCTGTTATCTTTCTGGCCTCTTTTTTTTTTCTTAGCTTTTTAAAAGAAAACATGTTTTTTTCCCCCTAGGGATTGAACACCAAGGTCTCTTCTAGAATATGAAAATGTTCTCCCACTGAGCTTTGCTCTTAGTTTTAACCCTCTATCTCTATTTGTCTTTTCCTTCAAACATTCTTGAATTGAGCCTACTGGTCAACCCAATTAAAGTAATGCCTAAAAATTTTAAATCAATGGCAAAAACAGTCTGGGAATAAAAGTAATTTCTGGGAATTGTAAGCCAAATTATAAAACTCATATACTAAATGCCAGTATTTGGATTTTGCATTTTAACTCAACACTACTCCAATGTATGGAGGGAACTAAGTTGTTACTTCTCTACATTTAATTGAAATGGACAAAGCTATCTGTTTCTGAGAGCTTAACCTTCTGTAGTATACACTCTCATTCTGTGGAAGAAAGTGAAACAGTGACAACTTAATTTGAAACACAACAGACAAAACGCTTTGACTTAGGCAGTGCCTCTTTATCTCAGAAAGTGAAGTCTTGCAAAGCCATGTTGTCTTTCAATGAGAGAGAAATGAAAACTCTGAATAAGGTCTACTTTTCATGTCATCTTGCAAGAATCCTGTTAGCTCTCCTTGATGTCAACACGTACTTTGCAGAAAGAAAAACCATTGTTTGCATGATCAGTAGCAATCAACACCAGAAAGAGCTAAGAGTAACCGAAGCACATTCTACTGCGTTTCCAAGCCAACATGCAAGAATTCCAACTGCGGAGAAAAGCATGATGTTCCACAATGAAATGAGAGGTCTCATGTTAGAAACACACTGCTTGACAACTATCTCAAGAAAAGAAAACAACAACAACAAAACAATATAAAGTTTTTCTTCTATCTGTGAAAGCAAAACAAACAAAACCAACAATAAATGAAGTACTGATACATAGATATTGATTTAGTGAAAGGATGAAACAACAGCAAACAGTGCAGAACGTAAGAAGGGTACAAGAGTCCAGGTATACCAGCGCCGGGGTAGGAATATTTTCTTTGGGGCTGGTTACCACGTTGGCTTTGTTGTTTATCTGTGGATATGCAGAAAATAGAAACAGAGATGCCTTAGTCTTCTTGGTAGCCAATGTCTACAAGTAGCGTGTTAACACAGAAATGTAGATATGAGAATAAAATGTCCCTGGGGGATGGATGAGAAAGACACAAATGAAGAGCATGTCTAGTTCCTGAAGGTCACACATAGACCAGGACCCTGTCTGTGATGGAAGACCGAGATCATCTGTGGTTGCTTTGGGTGTTCTGCCTGCCCTGAGTGGCTTCATTGAGTTCAAACCAGTATGATGAGGCTGTAGCCAGTTTCATACTCTTCAATGCAGATTCTGTTTCCAGTCTGCCAACTATTCACTGCTATGAGAATATACCTTTATTATTTTTTTCTTCTCATTTTATTCTTGAACCTGAAGTCACACATAGATCATTTTTCCCTGGGGAGCTATCATTACTTTGTTTACTGCACATCCAATTAAAATCCTGCTTCTTCTGACAAAATACAAACATTAAAGTGTTTACCATGAAAATGGTAAGTTTGGGTCTCCTTTAGGAATCTGTCTTCAGTGATAAGTAGGAGAAATCAGACTCGGTTGTGTAGCCGCCATGTGAAAGGACTTTATTATTCACAGTTGCTTGGGAGATAGCTCAGTACCTTGTGATTGTTCTGTTATCCTTGCTGAGTACATCTGGTAGGACCACGCCCTCACATTAACACAAGTGAGTTTATCCTTAATAGGAGATGTAATTACTACCATGGGAGCCATATTTTCAAAGACACGCATAGGGCCAATAAATATGGCAATGGCCCACAGAAGAAGGCTCTTTGTGGACATATGGGAGCTTGGAAATTTATTGAGTTTGGAACTACAGAATAAAATACTGCAAACCCATGCATAATACATTACATTATGGCTATTAAGTAGAAACTTAAATTCATATTCATTTTTGCGTAGCAAATTATGTAGTCATTTGTATATTATTTTCTAAAGAGAAACACACCATTGTTTTAATATGTATGTAAATATATCTGTGGACTTAAAGAGGAACAGGGACTGCATATCAAATAATTATTTATAAGTGATTACACAAGTAATTATTTGAGCTTCCTGGGTCATTTAACTTTATGCCTTCAGGCTTTTGGGGGGCTATCATTGAGAAGAAGGCAAAAGGGAACAGAATTAACTGAAGTATATAGTATTTTGCTGTTCTTTTCATTCTCATTTGCATGATGTTGGTATGACCATTATTTAATTAGTTTACAGCTGTTAAACAGTTAGCTTATAGCATTGTTATACAATGCTCTGTGACACCCAGAAAGAGAAAGTGTTGAACATTTCCTTTACCTAGATGACTTAATGAAGATTAAACCACTAACCTGCATTTTGAAAATAGGTTTGGAATTTTTGCTTTAAGTCAATTGAACACAAAATGTTTGCTATAGACAAAAATGGACAGAGGTATAGGTTTAAGGGTGTCTGTTAAAGAGGGATCAGAATGTACTTATGTTATTACAAGCTACATTAGACAAGGAGAGGGCTGCCCAAAGGTAATGTTCTATTGGGAAAGAGTGCTTGACGAAGCATAGCAACTTTCTGTCCAGTCATCAGGACCTTGTGATTAAATGCATTTAGTGTTCATCAAATGAAAGGGAAATACTCTGGAATATTCTTCCTGTTTTGGGAGGAGAAAGGTCTTCCCTGGAGAAGGTAGTTGCTAAGAACGGTCTTATTTTAGTGAAAATATGACTCATTTGTATCTAAATGCACACAAAATTATCAGTCAAAGTGCACAACTACCCAAGCTTTTATCCACATTCATACATGAACGACACACACAGCATCATGTTTTGGAGGTATTTATGACAATTATTCCCAAACAATAGGGAAACATCTAAGAAAAAGCCAGAAGAACTAACTTGTAAAGAGTCAGTTATCAAGTACTATGTTCAACCATAGTTGTATTTTAATACACATGTGAATTTATGTACTTTATATTATGGAAGCAATGTATTTTTCTTGCTTGAAACCTGAATGCAATCAACACTCTCAGAAGGCACGAATAAGGTACTGTATTTATTCAGTTAAGGTGAATACATACTTCTCTTAAAGAAGCTTAGCTAGAATGGGCTCAAGCTGAAATCACTTTCACATTATTTGTAAACCGAAGGCAATTGCATTAAGTTGTGTCTGAATTAATTTAACAATTATGATAACCGATTAAAAACAATAACAACAACAACCCTATAGCTCCCCCCAACCCCCGCACGAGCAAGTATTCATTGTTGCCTGGTTTGTTTATTTTCAAAGAGAAAACCAGGCTTTGCTCTCACAGACGGGTAAGGGTTCAAGTTCTTATTTACTTGAAAAAGTCTATCAGAGAAAAACCAAGTAATGTGAAAGTGGAGTAGCGTGTTATGAGTGCAGATTAGCGCTGACCTATGATGCTCTTTTTCTACTTCCACTAACTCGGGTAAATGAGATTGTTTCACTTCTAAGTGTGCATTTTCCCGGTAGGAGAAATCTGGCAGACACAGGTTCTCACCATCATCTGAACACTCGAACTGGACTTCCTTTTCTGAATTGACCAGTCAAAGAGAAAGAAGAGGAAAAACAAACAAACAAAACAAACAAAAAACAAAAACAAAAAAACAAAGCAAAAACAAAAATAAAAAAACCATGACCTGTTGAATTTTAAAGCATCAAAACATTGAATACATAATCATTTCATTCTTGAAGAGGTGTTTATAGGTTGACTGGAGGGAAATGGTGCTTTTGTATCAGAATTCCAGTGATAATAACTGTGCATTGGACTTATGAGCTCTCCAGCACGGGGCAGTACAGAAAACCCAGAAGAAAACGTTTAGAAATGTAAAAATCCTCATATTTTCACCAATGTTATACCAGGAAAAAGGCAGACACCCACTGTCATTATTGAAATCTGACGAGGGAAATCAGCAGAAGGAAAATACATTTAGTGTGAGGAACAGGAAGTGGCGATCTAGCGAGCTCAGTGACCCCATAGGTGGAAATTCCCAAGTCATACACAGACAGGTGGTGAGGTAAGGATTGAATCCATAGGAATTTAGGACCCAACAAATGATTTTTTTATGTTACATTTCTCAGTAAGAACTGACCACCTGAATGGGTCAAGTTCAAAGTTTAAAATATTAATTAATTCCCAAGAGTGTTGACCTGTTGAGGAATGTACTCATCTGCCATTGGAAGAGAAAGAAAATGATTAACAAGACATATAGGTGATTTCTAGAAGATAACAAATATTATTATGCAATATGGAGTTACAGTATTAAAAATAAGCTCACTGTAAACAAGATATCAGTAGGAGTAAGTTGTACTATATGAGTTTGATATCCAAGAAAGTAAAAATATTTATGCCGTTGTCTTCCTTGGAAGATTTTCCTAGTGTCTGTTCAGGGTAGCACCATCAGCATATCTTTAATCCTTAGTATTGAAACTCGAGGAACTCACGGGTTTTCAAGAAACTGCCTAAGCACAAACACCTAGTCACTGAAGCCTTGATTTTTCAGATAAACTTTTCCCAGATTTTGGTGGGCTTCAAGTACACATCATAATCACTTGAAAAAGCATTTGGGTTTTGCAGGTTCTTAAGTCAGCAGAGTGGTTTGTGAATGCGGAGAAGCAGAGATGACTGAGATATTCACTTTATATAATAACTATATCTAAAATATTGGTTTTCATGGTTAATACATAATCAAGTGAAAAGGATCGAATGTTTGTTAGCATACATGATAATATTAAACTATCTCATGCTTTGGCCTGCACCTTTTTTCAAGGACATAAACTACTACACAGATTTAGGATTTGCAGGTAATGGTTAAACGATACTGTATATGGAAGTCAGAGAGAGTTTAAAAGAGCTGTTTAACTTACCTTTACTCCATCCGGTTTCTTCAACAAACTCTTGGCTGCTGCAAAATGAGAGTAAAATAGCTTTAGAGAGTTATCCACAAACCCACAGTGAGATGATAAATCAAGAAATTGTCTCCTACACCTTTACCGAGTTATGGGCAACACACACCAAATCGTCAAGGTCACACTGATGAGCGAGAGCTTTCGGGACACTGAAATACAGTATCACTTTTCTGGTTTTGCCATAGCAAATTTAGAACTAAATTCTTCCAGAGTTCATGGCATGAAGTTGAACACTTTGCCAGCTGCACATTGGACTTTATGTCACTGTTGGTTCTGAAAAGGATACTGGAACTTTCGCTGGACTATCCGTCATAATCCAGAAAGTTGGTTTCAGTCTCAAGACACCAGCTGACAGACCGACTACATGTTCATCCACACCACGTCTCATGACGATGTCAGTTCTGCCATTGAAGCTCCTCTTTCCAGAGGTTGAAATTTCATTCGCAAAATTTGCTCTGGCTAACCAGTGTCTTCTCTGTATTTTTAAAAATCAGATAACATCAGTTGGACTGAAGACACAAATGTCTATATAAAATCAGAGGATACCTTATTGACCAGGAGCAAATTTTTTAAATGTTCAGCATATGGTAATAAAAAATGCATTCCGTGTTCTTTTAGACTTCAAAATCAGAATACAAAGGCTTCCTAAACAAAGGTTGTTGAATTGAAAAGTTAAAAACCATAATATCTGGAACCAGATCTAAAATGAAATGAAATCTTAAAGGCATCGGTTCTCATAGAAAATGTCCTTTTTGTAGAGCGTTTAAGCAATTGCTTGTATTATCCCCAAATTTCCTCAGTCTATTAAAACTAGAAAGCATCCTTTTAAATATGAGTGCATATACAGTGAACACCCAGCATATCTATAATAACTGGTGTAGAACACTCACAGTATATACTTCCACTGAATGTTAATATACACAGTCATTTAAGCACACGGAGCATGACATTTGAAATGAAACACCTAGCTGTAACAAAACCACATGAACATTTCATTTATTGATATTTCTTTGGTTTGGGGTCTTGTTTTGGTTTTCAATTTGGCAACATTTTAAGTTTATCTAAAAGACATAAATATTCATTTTACCTTACTTTTTAGCAACAAAGCTATTAAGGTTTATCGATGGAGATTGTTATTCAGTAGTTGCCTTGGTTATGGTACTGTCTGCCTGTAGCTAAAAAAGTACACTTGGGAACTCTTGTGGCAGTTAACAGGTGAGAGAGCAAACAGAATAATTTGGATTGCAATAGCAAGCAAAGAGAAGACAATGGTTTGAGGGAAAGCAGCAATCTGGCCTGTGAGATGCAGTGCCATCCTTGTGTGATACCACCTTACCTCACAAGAAATACATTCCACATTCAGAGAGAAAAGAAGAAATAAAAACAACTTTATAACCACATACTTATGGACATTTACTTTAAAAAGTATATCTGGCAATGAATAGAATGAATGAAATACTCAAAATCATGAAAGTACAAGACATAACTGAGTCTATGGTATTCAGTTGACACAGACGTGATGGGTCAAAAAGTTTGTTTTTCATGCAAAAACATTCAGAAGCAATACAAAATCCACATAGTGGTCATGGGTTTTAGTTCACAAAATGGCGAAAAGGAACGTGAGGTAAATTAAACCAGCTATAAGTGAATATAAGCATTATTAATGAGGAGCCTTTTTACCCTTAAGGGGTACATTTAAAATTTTGACAAAATATATGATTTTAATTCTGGAGAATCTTTAAAAAGTAAGTTTATCATTAACAACATATACTGTATAACTCACTCTATTTCTAGCGATTCCCTGACTCCTCGGCCAGGGTGACACATCTGTTTAGTTTAAGGTCATATCTATTGGTTAATGCTTAGTGAGCTGGCATTGCGCTCACCCACATAAACATCAGTCACATTTACTTGGTCTTTACAGAACAGCCTGACAAACGGTTTATTAGATGAAGCACATCAGATAGAACACATAACAGCTGGCCAGTGCAGCCGCTGGATGCGCAGCCCTGGTCACTGTGTGGGAACTGTGTGCCTAGTGCTCACCAGCCCATTATTTCATCATCTATCTAAGTGGGAAGGAGGACGGTTCTGGAACACTAGTCTAACAGTAACTAGGGACTGACTGAAGAATGTCTAATGAAGAATGAATAATGGTGGCCACCCGATTATCACTTTAACATCCTGACTGGGCAAAACAGTCAGAGCAAGTCAGTGAATGCTGCACAACCCCACCCCAAAGCAAAAGTAATGTCATTTTTGACAAGTGTTCTAAAAATAACCAACCTTCCTTCCTTCCTTCCTTCCTTCCTTCCTTCCTTCCTTCCTTCCTTTCTTTCTTTCTTTCTTTTTCTTTCACTTTTTCTCTCTTTCTTTTTAAAATAGGGTCTCACTATGTACCTTTAATGGCCTAAAACACTCTATGAAGAGCAGGCTGGCCTTGAACTCACAGAGTTCAAACTTCCTCTGCTTCCTGAATGTTAGGATTAAAGACATGCATCACCTGATGACTTTCCCCTAAAGTATAAGTTTATCAAATAAGGCAGTAAGTTGGTTGCTGCCCAGTCCACTCCATGTATGTCTGGTTAGCACATGCCAATATTTGACTTTTGAATGCTTAGAGCTCTTTACATAATCTATCAAGGAGGATTCCAAGACTTAAAAACACTTTTCCTAATACACATTTTACATACATTGTGGAGAGTCACTTTTAGAGAAAAGAAACTTCTTGGCTGAATTTAGCTCATATGTAAGTTTTTTCTTTTTCTTCTATTCCTCCTACCCCCAACATGCAATCATTTTGAGGAATACTATTATTGGATAACCTCCCTATGTACCCATTTGGCTGGTTCTCTGTAACTTCTCATTAGACAGCTTTAGTCCTTCTAATTAGTCTAAACGAATGTGAAGTCACTACCTTAGTTGAAAAATTAGGCCTATAAGAATAAGGTTCTACAAAATGACTCATTTTAAACTCTTTCTTATAGCAGTTCCCTATAGTAATCAGACAAAAAAAAAGTATTCTCATGGTTATTTATGAAATATCAATAAAAATGAGACATATGTATCATACTTGTGTGACCACAAATTAGAAAAAGCGGTGCTCTTGGCAAGATCTTGGCCTGTCTGCCATGTTCCTGCTCTAAGTTCCTGCCCTAATGGCAGCACCGGCTGCCCAGTGGTGCCAGCCAGGGACCCAGGAGATGTAGGCGTGGCTACTGCCTCTACCGGGTCAGCCCCGTGGACTCCATGGCTCTAAGCATGGCCCCTGGGCCAACTCTGCCACCCCCATGCGGTAGATATAAACAATTCCAGTACCCTGTAGAAATAAGACTCTTAATACATAAAGATTATCCAATGGATTTATATATTAGCAAATACTCAATACACAAGATACTCACACAATTAGAATTGTTTTTTTTCTTTTTTTTCATATTCTTTTTTTTATTGGATATTTTATTTACATTTCATATGTTGTCCCCTTATCCCATCCCCCACCCACCTGGGAACCCCCTATCCCCTTACCCCTCCTCCTTCTTCTCTGTGGATGTAACCCCTACCTACCCCCCCACTCCCACTTTCCCACCCTCAAAATTCCCACCTCCTGGGGCGTCCAGGCTTCATGAGGTCAAGGATCTCATCTTCCACCTATGCCCAGCAGGGCCCCCCACTCTTACGCATTCAGCTGAAGCCCTGGATCCCTCCCTAAGTGCTCCCAGGCTGGTGGTTTAGACCCTGGGAGCTGTGGTTGGTTGGTATTGTTGCTCTCCTCATGGTGCCACAAACCCTTTCAGCTCCTTCAGTCCTCACTCTAACTCCTCTATTGAGAACCCCATGATCAGTTCAATGGCTAGTTGTGAGCATCTGCCTCTGTGGCACAATCTGTTAGCGCGCGGTACTTATACAATTAGAATTGTTAACCCAATTACCTAACCTTGATATGAATAACCACCTGAGGCTGCTAGAGCCATGAACATCTGCTGCCATATTCTCTCTCTCTCTCTCTCTCTCTCTCTCTCTCCTTCCTCCTCCCAATTCTTAGCTCCACCTACCTCTTCTCGATCCAATGACAGAGCTCCACTGCAAATACAATGGGCAGGAAAAGTCCTGCCACAGTTATTTATGAAATATCAATAAAAATGAGACATACATATCATACTTGTGTGACCATAGCATTTGAGACCTAGATGTCCAGTATGAGTGGAGTCCTACAGACAGCTACAGGAGTATAAGAAATCTCTGTTTCCCCATTGTGTGTGCGTGTGTGTGTGTGCGTGTGTGTGTGTGTGTGTGTGTGTTAACCATTTGTAGTTATTAGACTTTCTCAATTCTCTTAAGGACACACACGCGCGTGCGCGCGTGCACACACACACACACAGAGATTAGAGAAGGTCAGAGGACAAGGAACAGAGTTCAAACATACATACATACATACCTGAAAAATTTCTCGTAGCCAGCATAGTTGTCAAGATGGCGCCCTATCAAAGAAATAAGAGAAGTTGATTAAAGTTGGCCCTAACAAATCTCTGACCAAAAAACATGTAACAAGGGCTCACAAATCTCTGGTTTTTTTTTTTTGTTTGTTTGTTTTGTTTTTTTTTGTTTTGTTTTTTTCAGATACAGAGTTCAAGGTATCTCCTTTCTTGTTTTGTTTTGTTTATTTGTTTCCTGAAAGCCCTACCCTGTGACTCTCAGGATGTTTGGACAGCTCTAAGTTTCTGAGCCATTGTTTAGGTCATCAAACTGAACAGCTGTTTCCTCTAAGGAGAGAAACCACAGCACATACTGCCCCATCCAGCCTACTTGCATCCTGGGCTTGATTACGAAGCATGGTCCGTTTCCCTCCGATCCAGGAGGACTGACTATTGACATCTATAGTGTTAAAAGCTTTTCTAAGACTTCTGCTTTCAGCAGTTTTTATTTCACCAAATCAACCCTCCCGTTCCTCCCACCCCTGCCACAACAATGTCAAATTTCTTACCTTCAATTTCCGCCTAGCATTAAATTTCTTCAAGCAGTCTACAGTCTCCTGCCTGTGCATCATGGAAGCAACAGTAGAGCGTTGCTAAAGGAAGAGGAGAAAGAGTGACTTGATATTTAAAACATACAAAGGACAAGAAAAGAGTCTCAGTTTCATCCAGTCTTTGCTAACGGCGCCTGCAAGTATACAGTCAACTTGCAAGTACTCAACTGCCAACGTCTCCTAGGAAAAAGCATGGTTTCATAAAGACTGCTAGAGACTGAACTCAAACACTGATGGATAGAAGGTACAGGAACGAAGATCATTAACTTCTCAGATCATCACTATAATAAGCATTTCATTTCACTCTATCAGAATATCTTCCCCTTACTTAGCAGTATATCCTCACCCTAGAAATTTACAGAAGTTTTCATATTCCCTTACAATTTTGTTGGTTTTCCTTGGTTTTCGTTGGTTTACTACAAGACAAACTATTGCAGACACCCTGTGCCCCCTAAAACTGCCTCTAGCTTCTAATCCTCATACGTTTCTAAGTCTGCTTAATGATAATGAATTAGACTTGTAAAATTTTCCCTTCTGGGATGCAGTAAGTATTCATGTCATTTTCTTAGTCCCTGCTCATGAGTCTTATCAATAATTGGCATGGGAACTACTCCTTCCTCTTACTGCAGACAATACTTACTTAGCAATTTTTACAGTTTAGTGTTCGCTACTGGCAATTGTGGTTTTCTCTATTATAAATTCGTTTCTTAAATACCTTGAGTCAAAAATGCATTAGGGTTTATCTTTTTCTGTAAGATTACTTTAAGCCTATGAAAAATGACTAGGAGTTTATTCTTTACTTTGACTACCAAGGTGTTTGGGAAAATGACTTACACAGATCCATGGGTGTTTCAGGGCCTCAGAGGCTGTAATGCGTTTGGCAGGGTTGATGGTCAGCATTTTGTTGATGAGGTCTTTGGCTTCAGGTGTCACTGTATCCCATTCTGGTGATGGAAACTTCAAAGATAGAAATTAGCAAAGAGCTTTTAAAAATAGAGACACTAAGCCAGACGTGTTCATACATGCCTCTAATCTCAACACTAGGGAGGCAGAGCCATAAAGATCAGGACTTTTAGGCAACTCTCAGATATATAGCAAGATAAAGGGGAACCTGGTATACATGTGATCCTGTCTTAAAACATACACACAAACACACACACATACACAGACACACACACATACACACACACACACTCACACACAAACACACACACACTCACACAAAAAGAGTCAAATAGAAAAAAAGGCAAATATATTCCTCATTTCTATAAGCAGTGCATTGTTTCATAAAATTTCCTATTATATAAGTTCAATTGTAGTTGAATTATATAAAAATTAGATTAATTCATACCACTGTCTACTGCAACAAAGAAATAACTAACAAGATAAAGTTGGTCACATTTATTTTCAATTTGATCCACTGGCTTTGATGTGAACATGTCTGAGATATTAATGTGTGAATTTCTAAAATACTTAACTAGAAGTAATGCTTGCAAGATAGCCATGATTTTGCAAGTGACTGCCCCATGAGCTGACTGGAGAAAGAAATCATCTTGAATTGCTATCATCTCTCATTCTACCCAACATGAAACCATTTCCCCATCATATTGTGATTTGAAGAAGGGTAGATAGTATGTGGCAACTGGCTGGACAGTGGCTAGACCAAGAAGCAGATCCAAAGCACTTCCCAAAGCCAAATTTGCTCTAAAAAAAATAAAAAACCCAAAAAGAAAACAAAAAACAAAAACAAAACCGTGGTCAGTGTTTGGTGGTCTGTTGCTAATCAGATCCACCACAGCTTCCTGAATCCCAGTAAGCCATGACATCTGAGAAATGTGCTCAGAAAAACTAACCAGATATAACAAAAACTGCAGTCCCTACAGCTGCTGCCCAGTTCTTTATGACAACACCCCTGCATATGGCACAATACTTCAAACACTGAATGAATTGGGCAATGAAGTGTTAATTCATCTGTGAAAGCCACCTGGTCTCTCCCCAACTGGCCAAACATCTTGAAGAATCTAGATAACACTCTACAACTAACAGGATGCAGAAAATGCTTTCTAAAACTTCATGAATTTTTATGTAACAGATATAAACATATTTCTCACAGTCAAAAATATATTGATTGTGATGGTTCCTATTTTGATTAATAAAGATGTGTTTGAGTCTAGCTATAATGACTTGAAATTTGTGGTCTGACACTATAACCTTTTCCCTAAACCCAATGCTTATCCTAACTTCTTTGGATAATTATCTGACACCGTAAACCTTTTCCCTAAACCCAATGCTTATCCTAACTACTTTTGATAATTAACCTTTTTTCATATGATAAGTATATTTTGTATTAGATACAGTTTTATTCATATGCTAAGACAAATTTACCTCACCCTAGTTGATAAATGACAGATTATCAAATTATTAAACAAATAGCAACAACAGTCCTTGCTCTTGGCAGTAAATTGACCAACCGTCACCCAAAGCCCCATGGGTACTTATTACATACATCATAAGCTCCAGCCTTGATCTGCTGATACAGTCTGTGCTGATCTTCATCCCAGAAGGGTGGGTATCCCACCAGCAAGATGTAGAGGATGACGCCTGAGGAGATCATAACAATGAGTCAAATGTGCCCGACCAATACGGTATGGAGACAGAGGGAAGCATGGGAATGACTTCAGAGAGACACACTGTGTCCTGTTCTAAAGCCTCCCTCTCTAGAAGATGACAGCTCTTCCTTTCTCCCATGTGCTCCACACTGACACCTTGGCAGTCTACCCGGTGGAACAAAGTATTGTAAAGATGCAGGCAGGGCAACACCTAAAGATGAAAGCTCCTTTATTTTGAAGGTCATTTTTTGCCTCCCATTTTTCTATATAAGATTCTACATGGGCTGACACTTAACTTTTTGTTATCTACTTCCTTATCTACTGACAATGAAGACCTTTGCTGACTGTAGTGTCCTGGTTACAAATTTATGTTCTAAATAAACCAGTGTCTCTTTGGGATGCTGATAACATGTAAAAAAACATAACCATTTTCTCTTCAATAATACATTTTTAAAACTAAAAGCTTTTCTATCAAATAGACGTCACCAAAGAGCCATACATTATAGGAAAGTAAGAGGGAAGAGGAGGGAGAAACCACATGCAACATCCAAAGTCATAAGCACACAGTTATAACGCAATTTAAGATTTATTGCAAAAATATGTAACTAAAGGCATGGCTGGTGTATAGAGGGGACTTTTTCCAGTATCACTTCACAGATATCACATGGGCATGCTCAGGCCCCATTGATAGAATTGTGGAAGTCATTAAGCAATGCAATTCTCTGTATTTGAAATAATGTACAGATTGCTTAACCTAAAAAAGTCATAAAATGCTGCAACGGAGTTGCTGTGCCATGTTGTTTAGAAAAAAAGGAAAAAGTCTGCATACATTCAGTGATACAATTGTGATTTCCCCCCCAAATATCTGATCTATGATGGCTGAGTCTGTAGATGTAGAACCTGCCCACCCAAGGGTAACTGCACTTATGAGTTAGTCAATATTCAATTCAATGTTTAATGAAAACTATACCCATAGACTGTGAATTTTACCTGATATTGCTTTATATGTATATACTCTAAAAATAAAATTATGATCTCATTTGCCTTCAAATATCTTCTAGTTACTTTTCACACATTACTAACCTGCCAAGGTCTTTGTTTCTTTTGTAGCCAATTTTCCTAGAGGAAGATCTGAAGTTCCTGTGGCCTCACCTGAAAGCCTCACCCTTGTTTCCTCCTTAAGCCCAGAAAGGCGGAGGAAGAAGACTAAGGCAGGCGAAGCTCTGCCCAGATGCCTGGGACTGTTTCCCCCTCAGAGTGGGAGTTCCTTGGCTCCTGAAGCTCCTGGTGGGGAGATCTAATGCAGCTCTTGTCTGTTTGTCTGGGATTATTTATACAAAAGTCACCACTGAAATAAAATGGCTTTAAAGAAAATAGTCTAATCTCCCCTTTATTGCCTACTTCTGGAATACAGTTTGAAATAGATTTTTAGAACTTAGCCTGTAGCTAGAAAATCTGCAGCCAAGTGCTTGTCTAGCATGCCTGAATCCCTGGCTGGGTCTGATCATTATAACTGACAAGCAAGCAGACAAAACCACCCAGGCAAAACTAACCCAGCAACGACCTATTATGTCATGTGGTGGGATAATAAGTTTTATCTTGAATGTTCCCATGTGCCCACACATTAGTGTTTTGGTACCCGGGGGAGCTGTTATTAAGAGGTAAGGCCTACAGCTATCTCCAAGTGACTGGGATATGTCGGACTCTGGTTGCTGCTGCTGCTGCTGTTTCTGCCTCTTCTGCTCCTTTTCTTCTTCTTCCTCTTCTTCCTCCTCCTCCTCCTCCTCGTCCTCGACCTTGCCCCCCCTCCTCCTCCTTTTCCTCCTCCTCCTCTTCCTCCTCCTCTTTTCTGGTCATTAGGTAAGTGGTTTTGTTAGTCGTGTGCTCGAGCCATGAGTTCTCCATATGGTCACCACAGGCCTGGTTTGGAGGCCAATATATCATGGACTGCAACTTGTACAAGTTCAAGCCACAATCAACCCATCATTATCTGGAACAATTTGTCATAGTAATGGGAAGGTGATTAACATGGAATAAAATATTTAAAATTATAGTCATCTTGAGAAAACTGTCATGGCTTACATATCAAGGCTGGAAATATATTTTACAAATTGTACTGTTGCAGATTTGATGTTCATTAATTTAATTTTCATATTATTTTTATTATCTGATGGGACAGATGATTCAATAGTCATGATGGCCATGGCGATGACCAATAACAAAATTTACTTTTTCCAGGATGAGTTGAAAAGAAATTCATTTAAAATACTTTTAGTTTTCACCTATGGTGCAAGGAGTGAAAAAAAATCATTTGTTTTGTAATCCCACATTGTCCGGTGAATTTAGACATTTTTCTAATAAACATGGAATTAGGTTGTTACAAAATGATTAAACAGCCTTGCAGCTGAGGCATTTCCCACTTTGACTCAGGTTTTGCTTTGCTGAGGCTTTTCTAAGCAGTTGACATCTAACATTACTTCTCTGGAAGTGGAAGCTCATGGGGGCCTTTTGTCCAAGGAAGAGCTAACAATGCACACTACACATATACTGCACAACAATTTCCTCAAGACTAGAACACTTCACACTGCAGGGAGACTTGTTAAGGCCCAGGAAGTTCTGTATCAAAAGTTTTCATCCTGGAAGGAGGCTTTTTAAGATAGAGGAAGAAAGCAACTCACAAATCTTATATAAGGAAGTCCCTAAAACTTAACAGATCCACAAGGTCCATCTTTTGACCAAGGTTATATACACAGTAAGCATTGGTGTGGAGAAGAGATTGTCTCACTAGCCAAACTGCCTTCACAGCTGAGAGTTCCAGGATTGCAGCTTATGTGACTTTCCACCCACAGTAGCGCGGTACTTTGGTCACTCAGATGCTTTAGAGTTGTCCATGTTTCTATAAGTAACACCAATAAACTAACTGGCTCATCAATTTGGACTACAGTGCAACCTTCCTTGATCTCTCACTGGTGCAAAATTTGGGGTGAGTAGAAATTTGTTCAGAGACCTTCCCGGGAAAAGTCACACACCATCTCATGTTGATAAATGACAAAATGGCTTCTATGGCAAATATACTTTTGGCAGCATAAGTATTAGAAATAAAAATGTTTTAGTCTTGATGACAGAAGACAAAAGAAAGTACTCTTGGGTAACTGAGGTAGAATTGAAGTATTCTGTAAGATTCTTTGAATTTTCTCACTAGAATCCAAGGGCTTCTGAATTATGCTTCCTTACGCTCTCTGAAAATAAAGAATGACTACCAGACTTGTAGCATAATGATAATGTTGCATCAAACTTTCTTCATAAGTAATATTCTTTACACGTGTTTTAAGTCATTACGTCATTTAGTCCTATATAGTGGTAGATATGTTATTAGTAGCATTTTATAGATTATAAACAAGGAGACTAAGTGGTTAAGTTACTAGCAGGCTTGTTGATGGTACTACTTTAAAAGTTCTCGCAGCTACTTTTCTTCCATAGTAGGCCTTCTCACCTGAATTACCTAATCAAGATAATCCTCCACAGGGGTGTCTGAGGGCTAACCTTACCTAGATGATCCCTTCCTGGGATGTCTGAGGTTAGTCTGACATAGACAATCCCTCACAGGGATGCAACAATCAACTTAACCTAGGTGAACTCTCACAGGGGTTTCCAAGGGTTACCCTACCTTAAATGATTGCTCATGGGATATCAAAGGCACAACTGGAGGTTTGTCTTCGGTGATCCTAGATCTTGTCAAGTTGACAATTAGCATTAACCACCACAATGAGGATTTCAGGGGTGTTGATGTGACCTCCCCATACTGGTCTCTTATGACCTAACTGACCTTTGCTAATCATTGCCTAAATGTTTTACGAATTGGCATTCTAATCCTATCTCACCTTTTTAAAATAGGAAAATGTTTTTTTCCATTACCTAATTACTTTCAGGATTAGCCCACATAGGAAAGACCAAGTAATGGCCCATTTGTTTTTAACCTGTTTTTGAAATCACCCATTTACTCTTATGAGTCTCCCAAATTTCAGAATGCCTCTTAGATTTTACCATCATAAAGAATGGATTTAGTGTGTGTGTGTGTGTGTGTGTGTGTGTGTGTGTGTGTGTGCATGTGTATTTCAATCTAATGTGCTATTGTTCTTAGTAACCTTGTAACAGTTCCATCTCTGGCAGGTGGAAATGAGCTTCATGTTGGCTCCTGTGAACAAAAACCCAGTGTTCTTTAACTTTTTTTTGTTTTCCTTCTGGAATGACAAGATGCTCCTATACTCTCCATGACAGAGATATCAGCGAGAGTAGTGAATCAGCTAGTACTACAAATGATAGGAGGAACACACAGTATAGCAAGACCAAGGGTGACCACGTATGTGTGCTCTGTGGAGACACATACATTGAAACTTAGTAGGGAGAGACACAGTGATGAAACCTGCGTATCAAAACAAATTTAAGAGACTAAAGATAACAAATTAATAACAAACTTGTGACACAAGAAAGCAGACAGGGGAAATGTGAAGACAACTGGCTATACTAGCCATTGCTATACCATGTTAATAAGTTATATTATTGCCCTACGTACAAATGGAGTCTGTTTTCTGTACAGATATATTGACACGACATTTAGATTTTAAATAAGACAGTCAGAGGACAGGGGAACATATGGGGGTAAGATGAAGTAACCTTAGCCATTTATTCACTATGGTACTCTCTCCTTTTGTATATTTCAACATCCCTAAAATCAACAGCATGAAAAGTGCTTTTTGACACAATTGGTTACATATAACATTGTTAAATGATGCTGCCCTGTTTTCTTTGGTTTATGTATTAATTTGTGCTTGGAAGACATGAGAGATGTTTGATTAATCAGAGTTTTGAGAAGCACTGATTACTGATTAGGAAGAAAGCCTACCTTATCAAGAACATTTAAAACTTATTTTAATGAAAGCTAATATTAGAAAAAATGATTAAGCCTATAATCACACAAATGATCAAACAGAC